AGCACAATTTTTCAGTTATACATGAATATATATATGTTCATTATCACATTTTTTTCCACTATGAGCTACCACAAGATCTTGTATATATTTCCCTGTGCTATACACATAGCTGCCATTCATTCTTAACATTCCCTTTACCCTTCTCATATGGTAGAGCTGCTGTTACTGAAACCCCACAACTTCATTCTTGGTTTACTCCCTTGTTTTGGGCAATGCTTCCTTCAGTAGCCTCTTATTTGCTCATTTTTCTTTTTTGAAACAGCATCCGGTTATTTTATCCCTGAAGATATTCATTATAATTTCTTTAAAGTTTTCTTTTGCAACTGCCATTCCTTATTTCTTCTAAATTCTATCCTCGGGTTTGTTTCTTTGGCTTGAGTACTACTTCATGCCAAATTATTCTTCAAATGTTAGATAATCTCCCAATTTCTATAAAAGGCACAGAAAATCTTGGAAGTACTATGTGTGTTGGTTAGGTCAATGGGGGTGGGTTGTTATAGATAGGTAGGCCTCAACCGTAGAGGAATCTGTTAACTACCAAACTGTTGGGTATTGTCTCCAAATAATGTTAGTATCTACAGGACTTCTCTCTGGGACAGTTGAGTTTCCTGAGAGAAGGGTCCTCTAATAGCCTGTTTGGCAGATTTAAGTTGGGTGGCTGACATTCTGGAATTGGGCAGAGAAAAATTGCCATTTATTTGCAGAGTATTAGCTTGCTCCCTTCTAGTTTTGGTTCTGCTTGTAAATAGCTGTTTCATAGAGGAAGCAACTTAAGCTCTCCAGATCTCAAGTTTTCTTATCTGTAAAGTGAGAGCGCTATAGGTGCTGATCTCTGAGGTCCCTTCCAGCTGATATACTAGGCCTACCCTATAGTGTACAGCTTTTCTCCTTGGGAGAGGGGCAGAGTAATTTCAAACTAAAATAAATCTGGAAATAAGGTTGGAAGGCCAACCTTGATGACAAAAGGTGATTTCTGAATCTAATGATGCTGCTTGCAAATCTGTTTCACGTCAGGCTCTCCATGCCTTACAAATATAGCTAGGCAGGGAGCAAAGCTGCTTCCACTAGGGGTGGCTTTGAGACATTCGGCAAATCACTTTCCTTTTCATGGTGTTCATCAAGTTGTATTGGATTATCTTTAAGGCTTTAAACAATTTTTTTAAATTGCTTTAAAAAAAATTCCATGATTCAAGTAGTATGATTATTTGTGTTTGTCTGATATGAGCTATCTAGTTTTTGTTTAAAAGCCTTCACTTAATCCTGTTTTCTGAGGAGGTGTAGACTGCCTCAAGTGCATAACCCAGCACCATTTGTCTTACCTCTGCTATTATCAGATAATAGGTGCTAGTTATTAAGACTGTCTGTGAAGTAAAAATATCTAAAATTAACCTTGGGATCTTGATCTGTGAATGCTTAGTTATCTTTCTTCAAAGAATTCTGCCGTCAGAAAAGTCTTCCAAGAAAACTCAGGCTTTTGAGAACCTATCTGTGGGCTTTTTTGCTTGGCGGATTTTTCTCTCATTAGGTATAAAGGTCCTGTGCCTTCGAGGTACACTTTTGAAGGTGGCACTTGCTCCATCTCCCAAGTTGGAATCAATTATACTTGGTTCTTTGGAAGCAGTGGCAATGTGGCTTAGTCTGGACTGTTTCCAAAAAAGGAACATGTGATGAGATTAATCAGAAGCACTGAGAACTCTTCTTTCACTTGGGTCTCTCATTATTAAACTGGCACCATCTAACAAAGCTGCTTTCATAGGGAAAAGAATGTACTTTCTAGCCAAGAGCTTGGTTAAGAATGAGTCAAGTTAGAAATTTGAGGTATCAAGTTAACCTCTGCCTGTTTAAGACTTCTTACATTCTCTACTAAGGTTTACACAGTAACTACTAAATTTGTGAATTACAGAAATTTAATAGCTACGTAAAGCTGAACTTAAGGTGAAGTCTTACTTAAAATAATGAACTCAAACATCTGATTTTCAGATTCTCTTCAAATTTTGTGGACTGTGTATAAGGTATATATGCCAGACTCATATGCATTTCACATAGTGAAAATTTATCCTTGGACTAGATATTCCTTAAAGTTCTTAAAAATAATTGCCAACCGTGAGTTTTTTGTTAAAAACATTTTGTCATGGAAATGTTGCAACATACTCAGTTGTATAGAAAAAGAGTAAATATGAACCATTACTCAGCTTCATTATTTATCAATATATGGCCAGTCTTGTTTTATTTATATTCAACCCACATTCCTTTTTTTTCACAGATTATTTTGAAGCAAATTCCACACTTAATCTCAAATAGATTAGTAAATTATGTATCTGTCAAAGAAAAGGACTCTTCCGTTTTGTCTCTATATATATTCCTATAAAATGCTTTTGGTTGAAAATGTTTTCACATGTAACTTTTAGTTACCAATCTTAGCAGTAATATTGACATTTTTCCTCATACTAGGGACTGGTTTGGTTGAAAGACAAAGAAGCAACACATTGTAAACTTTGTGAAAAGGAATTCTCACTCTCTAAGAGAAAGGTAAGGGATGTAGGAAGTGAGTCCAAATGTTTTTGTGCAAGTATGGCTTCTAGTTTTATTCATAAAGTTTTTTCTTTCGTTTTTCCATTTGATAGCACCACTGTAGAAACTGTGGGGAAATTTTCTGTAATGCTTGCTCTGACAACGAACTGCCTTTGCCTTCTTCACCAAAGCCAGTACGGGTTTGTGATTCCTGTCATGCATTATTGATTCAAAGATGCTCATCTAATTTGCCCTAAGACTCCAGAACTAAAATACTTATGTATGAAAAGTACCTACCATGAAAGTTACATATGAACATGTATACAACATATTCAGATAGCCCTTTTTGAGCAGCTTTCAAACAGCATTGATACCAGTTTTACCTTCCAAATATTCAATTTATGGGAATTATGAATTATATAATTTGGTATTTCCTTCCCATTATTCAAAAAGAATTTAACAGGGCATGCTTTCAAGTAACTTTAGCCTGATTGCTGTAATCATGTTAATCTTTTCTTAATGCCATTGAGAGGCCAGATAGCATAGCTAACACACATTTGCCTTATTTTGTAAAGGCCTTCTTAAAGAAAACAGGGCTTCAGATTGTTTTATTTTCCACATTATCAAATTGGTATTTGATGGTGCCTGTAATTTTCTAAATGCACTTTAAAGCTTCTCACAGTTCTCAGCGGAAAGATTGGAAATACGTATTTTAGAAGTATAAATATTCCAACTTAACGGATTTTTCATTAGCTTGGTAAGATTTCAACCTATTATTTGCCCCCCCCCCTTTGCCCATTATGCATTAGAAAAGACCTTTCCCCTCTTAAGTCAATGTTGTATTTGCTGATAACTTTCAGATAGTGCTTTGAGAGGTATTATTTTCCCTCAACTCTTTTTTGAAAGGAAGTTAAAATTCCATATGCGTTTCTTAGGGAGGGCTCACACCCCTTCTTAGAAGTTGAAACATAAATCCTTCCCTAGAAAAGAATGTATCTGTTAACAGGGATTACAGGCCCCTGATTGATTCTCCTCTAACTTTAAAGGGGAAATCTAAAATGCAGTTAAACTTTGCCTTTGATATGACAGACTTGATTGAAGTTTTGTACTACATTTCCATTCCAGTAACTTAGGAAGCATTACACTGTAGCAGTCCCACTATTACAGTATATATACGGAGTAAATTCACCGTATACCGAACACTTAAGCCAGGGTCCAGAGTAGATGTGGTCTCAGCCCTACCATTAAATACATACTTGGACTATTTCAAGCATGAAAGTCAAAAAACACTAATCTGTTATACTGCTTATAGCATACCAGGAATTCAGTATGTAAAGTTATTCTTGTATAACTAACCATTTAACAGCATCATGAGATTTTGTCTCATTTCAGTCATGCACTTTTGTCTGTGAACCTTCCAAACTTGTATCGTTCATGTATTACTAGGAGCATTAGTGAATTAATCATGGCCACCTCCCTTCCCAAGATAGGGTTGCTTGTTCGACAAGATCATTTTCTCAAGAGTAGACACTTCCATTAAGGCTTAGTTATTTTTCTAAATTGCCAAAGTATGAAACTGATGTTTTACTTAGATTGATTTTCTCCATAATTCAGTTTTTGAGGTCTTCAGTTAGAACTGACATACAGATTTTTAGGTGGTCTTTAATGTTCTGAAAGAAATGTCTGAGATATGAATTATATATTCTTGGAACTGTTTTGTACTGATGGGGTGGATTGTTTTTATGATTGCTGAAAATGAGAGTAAGCAAAAATGAGAAGTTTCAAATACTGTTTTATTATTACTGCACTTGAAACAAACTTTAAAATGTCATTTTCTGAACTTAAGACTTGTTTCATTCAACAAATAAACCATGATTTTTGTCCCCGTTTAAATTCTTAAATTCACTCAAAACTTACTGCCACTGATTTAGGCTTTTTTGTAGACAGGCTGTTATGACAGTAATACAACTTGCTCCGTTGAGTTTTTGACTCTTCTCTAAGAAACATTTATACAAATTTTGGACTTTATGTTACAGACCCTTCAATTTGTATTTTCTAATTTGTGAACTTCACATGCCATTCCCCCACCTAGGAGTACTACCACAGTAATGCTATCATGGTGCCAAGGAATTGTGACTGTAATTCTTCTAACTGCACTGTTTTAAAATGTGAATTTTATACACCAAATAAAAGATTTGAAAAGATTAGCCTGCTTTAGAAGGCTACTTCATTCATAACATTCTATACTTCTACTGCTTACAGATGTTAATAGGGTAATCCTAAGAAAATAAAAACATGTCATCTTTAAGGGAGTACAGGCAGTTAAGATGAATCATTGCTCCAGTTGATAGGCCTCACTTACAGTATTACAGCTGCTTTCTCTAAATCATTCCTTAGTCACTTTGTCTAATCTTCAATTAGACATGGTGCCTTTTACCAATTTGATCTATAATCAATAACCGACACAAAGCATTCTAGGACAGACGCCATACTCTTATCTCCCACATTGTTTATTACATTAATAACATTTCTAGCAAAAAACAAGTAACAAGTTCAATAACTGAATTCACATTGACAGGTTTCATGTTGATCCATTAGCCAATTTGGAAAAAAATTGATTGAAGGGATTAAAAGTAAAAAAGCACCTTTTTTCCTTGCTACATATAATTTAACACAATGGTTCTAAAACTCCGAACGTATCAGATGCAAATCCAACCGCAAGACTCTCATTTTAAGACTACGACATAGACTTGTCTTACATTTTTTTTAATCTATACAATTATTTAAAAACCGTATGCTTTAACTATTGGGCCAGAAACTGAAAATACATCAGTGAGGATTATACTCCAATACCCTTGTATTTGCACTGAATTCTTACGTCACTGAGAATCTTAACCTAGTCTAAGACACTTTGAGATAACTTTACAACTATCACTTTTTTGGAAATATTTTTTGGTACTTCAGTCAAGTGCTGAGGGGATTTATTCTAAAATCCAGGGCTAGAATTTAAACTTCCTTTTAACTTCCAACAAACACTCCTATCTGCAGGTAACACAATTATGAATATTGAGAAATCCAGATACATCTTAGATCATCATTTCAGAGCTATATTGCCTGATAAATGACATTTGAAAAATAATATAGAATTAGCTGAATTTATACTCCTGAAGCCACTAAACTCATCTTTAGGTTTTATATTTACAGTATTGTCCAGGAGAAATTCAAGAGTTACACTGTTTTCTAAGCTCTATTCCAGATGTCTGCTTAAGAACTGTAGTTTACGCAAGAGGTGAACCACTGTCCTCTAAGATTACACTATACTACTTGTAGAGCTAATAGTAAAATACATCAACCCAAATCTTATGAAAGCAGCACATCCTTAGGAGTAACTAGTATATAAAAAGTATCAACATCAGTGGTTTGAATATAAAAATTTATTTTTTTAAAGTCAAAGTATGCAACAAATAAAACCTACAGAAAACAGATTTTCCCATCACAATCTGTTGCTTTACCAAATAATATTTTGAAAACACATTCCTTCAGTCATTATAAAGTTCTTAAAATACAAAAGAAATTAAATCTGTAAGAAAGTCTAGTAGACCAGATGCTGTTGTCAGAACTTCTATGTTGGTGGTTATGCTTTAGTACATCCCACGCCATCCACCTCCACTCATGCCACCTTGCCCATAGTAACCTCCACTGCCTCCACCACCACGGCCTTAGGAAAAAAAAAAAATATTAAGAACTATTTAATAGGAGATTAAAAAGACATTAAAAATAGTATCAACTTTTAAACTGTTCCACATAAGGGGACTAACACAATGAACCAGAGTAATCAAAGACACTTACCATAACCACCCAAGCCATCAGGAGTACCGTAACCTCCGCTATAATTGTTCCCCATTCCCATTCTTCCAACAGATCCATAGCCTCCTTGATTATCTTTATTAAAAAAAAAAAAGTTTGAGATTGATTGCTAAAGTAGATACTCAGCTTATTTTAAAAACTTTACGTACCCATTCCATCTCTGCCGTAGCCTCCCATTCCAGAACCTCCCATTCCAGAGCCGCCTCCAGGGGTAGAATTCAAGAAGAGTTCAATGTATCGATGTTCTTTAGGAAAAAAGTAATGGGGAGAAAGAAATGACGGAACAAATTTACCAATAGAAGTATAAAAAGGGTGACTAGCTAATACTGAACAAGTAACAAGTGTTTGGGACCTCAGTTTATTTATTTATAAAAGGGCTGACTCAGATAGAAAACCTGCTTTTGGTATACTTTAAAAAAAAATATTTTCCAGGCCCTATCACAGAACTCAATTAGAATCTTGAGAGTAGTGTCCAGGAAAACTTAAGTACCAAGTGACCGATGTGAGACCAGATTTAGGTCAAGGATAAACTCAATGGTTTAAAAATGGATTTGATGACATGCAGGAATAACTTAACCAAGTTGATCAAATGTATAGGTTAAGACAGTATTAATTTGCAAATACAAAAGAATTTTTCCTCTTTAATAATTTAAGATCTAACAATCTGTCGAGTATTAAGAGTATGAGTTAACTCCTCAGTAGAAAGCCCCTTAGAAAGCCATTAAAAACCTAAACTTACTAGAGACTACATGGTTTCAGGTCCCAGACTGCCAAGAATTACCTATAGATCCTAGAACCTCTTATACTAGAGGAATTAAAAATGAGAAAGTAATACCACTTACGCATGTTATTCTTGTCTTTAGACATGGCAGCTACTGCATCTTCATGTGTCACAAATTCTACATCTGCTTCCCCGGTTGCTCTGCCATCAGCTCCAATATCAATATGCACTCGGATTGGATTTAGTGGTGAGAAGAACTAAATAAAACAAAACATTTACTTAACTTTCTATTTAGATTATTGAAAGCCAATTACCGTACACTTTGGTTTTATCTCATCTATTAAAACAAATGTAAAGTGATTGCTTTTAAAATAAGGTAGGCGGTATTAAATTTAAAAAGTATTTCTAAGTTAGAGAATAGTTTACCCCGTTTATAGATGAAAAAAGTCTCATTTTACTTACTGCCAAGAGTAAGCTCCCCCACTCCATTCCCAAGAAAGGTATTTCAAAATTATTGTTTGAAACATAAATAGGTCACCTGAGACTTACATGTGCAAAGAAACTGGGTGTTATGACTCAGAACAATGGAGTCTGATAAGCCTACCAACTGTATATGGACAGCTCTCAAAATATATCATTTAGTTCTAATAACAAATTAACCAGACTTAAGTGATCCTAAAACGTACCTGGAACTTAATCTAATTGAGTCCCAGTATGATCCAGAGCAAAAATTCTAAGAGCTAGATAGTAAATACTCTCAAGCTTTGTAGGCCAGTGGGTCTGTACCACAACTACTCAATGAGTGATAAATGTGACTGATTTGGGCTGAAATCTGCTGATTCTTTAACCAATTTGAAACCAATTTTAAATGAGTGATAGGAGCATCTACTCCCATATTTGCAGTTCTTCAATTTCTAATCACATGGCCTAGAAAAATCAAACCACTAAAACTTACTGACTTGTTACACATTTACAACATTTTCAGAACTTGACACAAGGGAAATAATCTTCCAGTCATCACCACTTTCTGCTGTTCAGTCATTCACCGAATTATTAACTAGACTTTATGAATGGAGTTTTACTTGCTTGAATCGTATGTAGGTTGGCACACAATGGACATAAATTCATCAACTACTGATAAGGACACGTATTTTCAAATTAAAAGGACTTCTGACATTAAAACTAAAAAGAAAAAGATGAGTACATTAACAGTGCCTCAAAATTTAGGTACCAGGATTACATGATACCAGTAATAAATTACTAAAATTACTTACATTAGCAATGTCATTTTCAGTTGCCCGAAAAGGTAGTCCTCTCATATGTACAAAATGACCACCATGAAAACCTGAACTTGCATCGCCAGCTCCACCATAGCCATGTCCTCCCATACCTAGAGTATAAAATTTCCAGATTATTTCTTCCCTATACGCACCTTTTCCTATTTACCTTTTCTCTAACAGCTAAGAAATCTTAATACTTACAGTTGTTCTAAACATCAAATGGAGAATTTCCCTTTAAGTATACAACTGTGTAAAGCCCTATGTAGGAATGCACTGAAATATGCCTGAGTTGACTTCTGTATACAAGTCACCCATATTACCACTAAGTGCATGTAAAGTACTAAAATTCACCTTAAAATGACTGTGTCTTTAATATTTATTTTACCTCTTCCATCTCTCATTCTGTCATCAAAGCCATCATTTCCATAGCCGTAATTATTATAGCCACCATAGTCATCAAAACCTCCATAACCTGTAGAATTTAAGGAGAAATACAAGAATATACTCTCAGGAGACAAATTTTATAATGTACTTTTACAAAAGCACGTTTTGAGGCAAGTAATCTGGTTAAACTTATTATTACTAGTTTGTAACTCCCAACTTAGTGTATATAGAAAAAAGCAGTTAATAGTTGGTGGAAATAAAAAATCTGAAAAGTATACATTTAGACATCAAAACTAATTTTCATCCTGGTGCCAAATAAAAGGTCAAAATTTGCCAGTATCTTTTAAAAATTTCAGTGTCAAGTCATCTAGGTGACAATATGTGCATCAGTCAAGTCCCATAGCTGGCCATGGGAATCCATATTTTCATGAACAGGTTTTAAAACCTAGTAGGTACTGAAATTACTGCCATTTCTGTATTTCTTGACAAAGTGTCAGGAACATTAAGAAAATGACAACAGAACCTTTGTTCATTAGATACACATACCACCATCATATCCATCACCTCCTCGTCGCATTCTGTCATACATACTTCCACGCCCAGCTCCATAATAACCCCCTCTTCCTCCTATTGGTCTATCATATGGTCCTGGTCGCTGGCCCAGCAATCTTCTTGGCGGATCATAAAATCCTTTGATTTCACTTCTGCTACTTCTGAAGATCTCAATATACCTATTTGAAAATGGTTTAAGGTACAGGTTTCAGCATAAATGTACTAGAGTAAATAAAATACTGGGCAAAATGCAGTTTTTCTACATCTAGATATAACCCAATTTAAATTGCCTAAATACACTGTAAGTTAACATTGTTTACACCTACAAACTTAAATAATTAATATTTAAGTTTTGCATAGACAAATTAGTCATTTGAGAACAATTCACAAAATACATAATTTTAGCTTGTTTCCTTTAGTACATGATAGGTGTTTAGAGAAAATAGTTGATTATACAAAAGCATTTATCAAAAATATCCTACAGAAAAATGGAAACAATCTAATTTTAATTTAAGCAAACTATTAGCATTAATTCCCCACCCAAATCTGTAGTTTCCAAGTTAAATTTAGATAATTATCAATTCTTTTAAACTACCCCAGAAAAATGTTGTTACCCCCCCATTTAAGCAATAGTGACCCACAACCCCCAAAAATAAAAATTTAACACCATCCCAAACTCTCCATCCCCACCTGTGCCCTATTCTTTCCTTGTGTTTCCCCAGAGCATTTTCTGCTATCTCCTTTGAAGCAAACTGCACGAAGGCCTCCCCTGTGCTTCTCCCCTGGTAGTCCATCGTCAATGTTATCCCATTTGGCACGATTTCCAACCCTTTAACCCAAGGACAAATAACCCCATCAAGGGGAACAGTGTTAAAGGCTGAAACATTCCCATCTGAATCAAATATTTAAAACAAGTCTAAACAAAACAAAACAAAAAAAAAGCTTAGTTTTCCCAACACCCCATCATACAAAAGGAAGATTTTTTCAAATATTATTGGAATACATAATTTTTTTTGCAACCAATGTCTTTTAAAATTACACACACTCTAAAAACCCACCTAATAATACATGGAAAAAAATCAAATTTAACTATGCTCCATATGCTAATAAATGACTTCATCACATAATTACTCTCAATTAAGTTTATCATATATTAGGTTTTTACACATTCTACACATTCTGTACTGAATATTAACTGGAGCATATTGTATAACTTAATACATTAACCAAGATATACTCAAATCAGAAAGTCCCCCAAACAAATGAGTTTTACAAATCAAAAACCAAGTAACAAATATAAAATTAAAGTACTACTAAACTTTGACTAATACTAGAGGTACCTTGAAAGAACTGAACTATTTCCTCTTTGCTGCAACCAAATGGTAGTCCACGAAGTCGTACTGTCCCATCACTAGCGTCATTTGGACCATTATGTTTCATAACCCAATCCATCTCAATACCGATTTAAATGCTATAAAAGATAAACAAGCACATAAAGCAGTCAATCAAAATACACTCTTGTCAGAGGTACTGAAGAAACACCTCTCAGTGGTGCACAACAGGAAATGTAACATATGGTTCAGTGACTCTGGTAACAATGCCACAGCACAATAACTTTCTATTTTGGAATAGGCAAAAAACTGGGAAAAGGCAGTGAAATCTGACCCCCTCCCCACCTAAAGTACTGAATTTCTAAGGATCAAATACTATATATTGTCTAATTTTAAGAAAACTTACATAATCCCACTATCGGTCTTCAAATTCTTATTTCTTGACCCTGTCGATCTTAATGTCCACTCTAACCTCTTCCTCATCTCAAGTTTCCACTCACATTTTTCAGGTTTTATAACTCACTTGAACGGTTATGCAAATCCTTTAAAACTTAATTACTCAACAGTTGCACATAATACCACCACACATTCACAGCAAGAACCTAAGTCAAAAGTACAACGTGTACGTCTTTGATGTTGGAAAAGTGGTATTACAAGTCTAAAGTTTTCAGATGCACTATTATTCTGAACACATTAAATTGTTTTTGAAGGGAGAAAAGTTCCTATTTATTTTAAATCTGATTTAAACACTCCCAAAAAAGCAAGTTTTAAAATTACAAAGTTAATTAGGTTGAATCTTAAAATTGAGATAAAAGGGCATTCAAAAGTGAATGCCTTCTAATTTAAGTATCAGTGTGTGTTTTTTTTTAATCTACCCATCTGGAAATTATTGAAGATAGTATATTAACCATTATTACTTTAATTTTAAACATTTTAAAAAAGGTATGCATTTTCACATTAAAGTATTAAAGAGTACAAGCCCTCCTTTCCCTCCAAAAAGAACCATTCACCAAACCTCCTTCCAAAGAACAACCACCGTTTCTTTTAAAATTCCAGAACATTTTCAAGAGGTTAATGCAGAAGTCCTTCAGCTGCAGAAACTTACCAGACCATACAAATTTCTCTATGCAGCTGTAGGAATCCTACTCACCTGAATATTTCAAACCTTTCCCTCACCACTTCCTCCGCTGTAAACAAAACAATTGTTCACTTGACTCCTTTAAAGCTTGAGGATTGTACTTCATATAAACAATATTCACTAATGTTTAACTTCACGCAATCTACCTATCAGCGTAACTTATGGGTAGCATCTGCAAAGAGTAAAATTTTTTCCTAGAACCCATGCGTTTAAAATAAGCTAATGTAGAAGTTATCTAAATCTGGTTATTAATCAATTACCTCTGCATATGAATCACCTTTGGTATTTGTCTTGCCGGTTTTTTAAAGCAACCCTAAGGGCCACTCTAGACACATATGTTCAAAATAGTAAGAAAGGAAATTCTTATCTGACATTAACAATTAATCCTTATGCACACAAATAACTAATATGAACTTTTAATAGAAAGGAAATTGAGTCTGAATTTCTAGTCTGCTACTCACCAGCTACTTAGTTTAAGCAAACTACTTAAACTGTGCATTCAACTGTAAAATGTAGCAGCGGTACTTAGTAGCACTGGACTGTTTAAGAATGGTTCACAGTACTTGGTCTGCAACATGGTATTCATTCAATGGCAGCCACTCTTACTGGATTTTAAGGGGCCCTGTAAAACTGATGAAATAAACTACAAACTAACGGAAACTTAAAGGACGGGAAACTTCTGAATCTTGAAAGAAAGTAAGGACTGTTATAACAAGTCTTTTTCAAAGTCAACAAAGGCTTAAGTTTTCAAGTGTCCTTAGAAATTCTCTAAAGCACAGAGAGGAAAAAAAGGGTCTGAAAAATGTTTACTAGGATACATAGTAGCTAGACAATTTTTTTTAAAAAAGTTCTAGAGTAGCCTGGAAAATAGGCTTTGGGAAAGAGGTTAACATCTTTATCACTTTCTTAAAAAAATTTTTTAGGGGGAGGGTATAGCTCAAGTGGTAGAGTGCATGCTTAGCATACACAAGGTTCTGGGTTCAATCCCCAGTACCTTCTCTAAAAATAAATATGTAAGTAAACCTAATCACCTCCTCCCAAAAAAACAAAAATAAAAATTTTTTAAATCATAGCACCAACTTAAGAAATAACTGTTTTCTATAATGGGTGACTTAGGAACAGAAGAGGAAAAAGTGCAGAGGATTTAACCTCAAATGTTAACTTCCTCATGAAAAATTTAAGAACTTTGCAAAGTCAATCTGATCTGTTGTGAAGACCTTAGATGTGGTGCTTCGTGTCATTTAGAGCGTTTTTCAATATAAAGACACCATTAGGAACAAATACCAGAAAAAGATGGAAATTAACTTATAACTTATCTTCACTATAAATCTTAGCACTTTCCAAGAAATACTGCAAGCAAACTATTTTGATTTTGGGGTCAGCCTGTACCACTAAGACCTGTGCAGTTTATAAAAAAAAAAAACCAAATTGTTAATACAAATTTAAATTGGGGATAAGTTAACCAGATTCAAAAGATAAACTATTTTATGGGGTGACTCTCCATCGCATGTGTATGAAGAGTACCAAATAAAGACAAGCCACTCTTACCTCTTCAAAACTCAATTTGGGCCTAGAATTTTATTTACAAAACAAAACCAAGACAAACTAAAGGCATAAAAAATACAATCTTCCCTAATACCTTAATAAAGCGGTCTCAGAAACTACCTAAATAGCATTTACTAATTATTCAGGATAATCTATCTCAATCTTTCTTTAAATGTCATGGCTAATCACAAGTATGCTTTAAGAATTCCTAGTGTTAGCACCAATTAAAACACCAGCAGTTGAAATATTAGGTAATTTAGTCAGTTCTATGAGATTTTAAATATAATCTCCTGAACATAAGTGAAAGAAGCCAGTCACAAAAGACCAAATATTTTATCATTTTAAATGGGTCAAGTTTACAGTATGTGAACTTTTACCTTTATCTCAAAGCTGTTAAGAAAAAGCATCTAATTAAGGCCAAATAAAATTTCTTTATAACAGAGGCACATGCTATCTTCTCAAGTATAATACTAAAGGGCTTGATACATTAATAAATAACTTTCTAAATGATGGCCCATTGCTGCTCAAAAAAAAAGGAACTTGAAATTCTGGCCCCAAAGTGATGCTGAGATGTTTAATTAAAATGGAAATTTTACATCACTCCCCTTTCATGTGCTTGCCCCTTAATTTTAAATAAAAACAATGTAAACACACCACCACTACCTAAGGGCTGAGGTCTCAAATTACTTGTTCTTTTTCTAGAATAAGTTACCACCCACTGCAGTCCAGCCACTTGTTTACCAAAGTAAGGACACCGCCCTCCTCCAAAAGTTTAATAAAAACAAAGGCAATTAGATTGCTTTCCAGATTATAATGGAGATGAAAGAGGACAGGAAAAAAGGTTTCCAGGGTAATCTAATCAGGGAAAAGTTTACATCATATCGTACATAGGAAACTGGCCTGTCTTTTCAAAGTCCACTAGAATCACAGAACATCTTCAACAAGAATAGAAAGTTTTTTGTTTGTAAAGCTGGAAAAATAGATAATAGACTTGTTATAAAAATTCATATGCATTGTTGAAAATTTTCTCCTGACTTGCCCGTCCCTTTTGTATGGTCTTCAGAGAAAATTACAGACCCAGTTCCCCAATGTTCTAAGGACCAAAAATCACCACTCCATCACATGACTGGGCTTGTAGTTAGTCTTTCTGTTGAGTAGGCTTATTTTTTTGGTCAAAATGTTACTACGGTCCTATACCAAATAAAAAACATGCTTAGCTACCAAAAGAAAATAAACACCAAGTCTATTTTGAAGTACTTCTACAGTCTTATCGCCAAAACTCTTGGAGATTAACTGCTGAAAGACAGTAATTCAATTCCTATACACACATATTTGACATCACTGGCTGTGTTTTAAGAACTTTCCCAAAGAATAAAACTCATACTTAAATTCTAACCCAGTATCTGCCAAACCACACAAAACGATTGCTAAATCACCCCACCCCACCCAAAGGTTCAAAAAGCCGTATCATAGTTCACTGGACCCTGACGACCTATTTGAACTAAGCCCATTACACATTCCTAGTTGATGTCACATGCTTTTCTGCTCACAAAACAATTAACCATAGACTCTTTCAATACGTTTAAGGTAAGTGGAAAAAACCCTTGGAAAATGAGTACGTACTCTTTTCGAAGTTCCAAATCTGGAATATAAGGGCCGGCTAAGCGTCCTTTATTCCTCCCCGCAGACTTTCGTTTATCTAGCTGCCCTAGAGACCAGAAAGCTAGGGGAGAGTACGCCCCTTCCCCCCTCCCCGTCCAGCAGCCGAGACTGGCTTAAAACCTTCGCCACCGGGCGGCGGAATTACAAAGGAGGCCGCCTGCCTCCTTTGTCCTGGATTTGGCAGTTCAGCGCCTTCGTCGCCATTGGCTTTCCTCCCCCAGCTCCAGCCTCTCTCATCTTGGGAATCTGCGTCAGAAGTCACTCGCAGTCCCGCCAGCCCAGGTAGCCCAGCCGAGACTGCGGAGGAAGGGAGGCCGCGGTGGGAGACCAGGACCATCCGGCGCCATTTCCATCGGGAGCGCGCCCGACGGCCCAGATCCTCCCCCAACCCAAGTGCCCAGCCTTTCCCTGGTCGCTTCCTTCCCCACCCTCGTCCCTTCCACGGCGCTTCAACCACCCCCCGTCTTCTGAATCAGTTTTTGGAAGCTGAAGGGCAGATAATAGCAAGAGAGGAGAAGGGCGGGAAGCCGAGGTGGCCGCGCTACCGTACCCAAAATGGCGGAGGCCAAACCAGAAGGGAAAAGAGGGGAAGTGCTGGATACTCCCACTTCGGGCCTCGGCTTCGTCCTCTGAATTCCACCTGAGTAAGTCCTCCCCCGGGCACGCCGCCCTCCTTGAAGTGGGAGATCGCCTAGGAGGCGCAGCCTGGCCGCCTCCGAGCGGCGACCTCCACACTTCCCCCCACCCCACCCCCTCCCCTCCCAGTCTCTTTTTCGTCCTTCTCCCGACTCCGCTTTCAAAACCACCAGCCCAACCTACCCCCTTTTACTTCAGATACCCTGTCGGGCGACAGAAACGCCGACTCCGGTGCTCGCGGGGTCCGGCCGTGAGGAAGAAGTCGCCCGCCTCGTGTAGCGCTCCCACAACGGTTCTCCCAACCGTCTCCGGCGGTGGCAACCGCTAAGGGAGCTGCGCAGCAGAACGACTGACTTGGGGGGATGGGAGAGAGCGAACGAGAAGGAGGGGGTGGAGCGAGAGCAAGGAAGACTGGCCGGCCCCACCCACTCTCGCGAGACAAGAGAGTCAGTCCCGCCTTGGGCGGCAAGAAGTGCGCTTGCGCGTTGGTGGGATGCCCCGTTGTTGGGGAGAGGTGGAGAAAAGTGGGGTTTAGTCCAGTTGGAGAAAAAAGCTGCGAACTCCGCCTTCCTTGCTTACCAGAAAAACGCCAGATTCTCAGAACCCACCTTTCTGCTCTCGAGGAGGACGTGAAGTAGCAGTAGTAGTCCTGCCTGTGAGTGTTGTAGACACTGTGGTGTCGGGGTTTGGAAAAAGTTCCTCAGTGTTCTGCTGCACCAAGAACCAATTCCGTAAAGGCCCCGCCCTCACACTGGCGTCACCTGCGTGGTAAGGGCGCCACGTGGTTCGGCCGCCGGACTCGGGGAGGACTTTTCTTGTCCACCATGTTTGCATTATGAAGTAAAAATAATAGTGTTTCTCTACTGGAACGATAGAAAAGTGCCCGCCAGGCCCTGGGTTGGGGCTCTTTTCCCAGGCCTTGGCGCTGCTGGCCTAGCTGCCCCACAGTGGGCTTCGTTTGGGGCGGGGGCCTGGGGCTCATGATTAAGTTTCCTTGTAAGTCGCTCCTGGCTTCCTCCTCTCGCCTTCGCGTTCTCTCTTGGGTTTAATCTCTCCCACTTTGTAATCTTAGTGAACCATCAGCCGCTCGCGGCCAACTTCGGGTTGTTTTCAAAGTAGTGTATGCATCCTTGTGCGTACAAGTGACACCTAGTACTTTCTGGTTCTGCTGTCATACCACCACGGTTCCTAGTGGCACCTTTTGGGGGAAAAAACAAGCAAACCGAATTTCTGTAAAAACGGTGGCAGGCAGTCGTGGTTCAGACATAAATGCAAGTTAAAGTGCAAAGGTGGGAACGTATATCAAGTGGAGAGCGAGGGATGAGTTTGAACTCACGGCTGTTCCCGTAGGTTGTAAATGTGAACGAAATCTGTACACCTTTAATGCTCAGCCAAAGACTTTACTCCAGTCACTGAAAAGCCCATCGAAGGTGAGATGAGGGGACGCAAGAGGTATTAGTAGTGGAAAAACGAGTAATTTTTCCTCCATGAGGTCTTCAGTTTGTAGAGTGGAGACAGGAGGCCAGTTTTCCATCATATAATGAAAACTTCCATTTCGTGGCTTTAATTCATCCTCAGACCTGTTTAAGACAAGTGTAGAACAGTAAGAATGGGCTAGGTTATCGTGCCCTACTGTCTTTCTTGAGCCCACTCCCTCAAAATACGCCTCAAAGTGGGTAGAAGGGATAGTGTGGTCATCATTACAAGACACAGAAACAAAAGGATAATGTAGTAACAGCTCACAGTCGAGAGCTTGCCTGAGCTAGGTGCTGTGCTCAATTCACTGACTCTTATTAACCCTGAAAAATAATTGTTACTAGCCCCGTTTTACAGATGGGATGCCTGAGTTCTAGAGAAATGAAAAAAGTTGCCCAAGGTCACACACCTAGTGGCAAAAGCTAGGATTTAAACTCAAATGGTTTCACTCTAGGGGTAGCTGGGGTCTTAAAGCGCTAAGGACCTACCTGGGGTTGTAAATAATTTAACGGAACAAACATCGTTTTAGGCAAATTGAAGTTAACTTCCCCTAACACTGGAGTTGCCATCTCGGGAGACCTGCAAGTTAACAGTTTATCTACTGGAAACTTTAGAACAAGCCTGAAACGTGATGTCTTGGTGTCACTGACACTGTGAGCTCCACCCCCCCAACCCCCTTTTCTTTTTTTTAAATAATTGCTGTTTTAGTAGGACTCCAAGCTCCCACGCTTCAGATGGAGTTCTTCCCTGGATTCAAATTACGTTACTACTTTACCCTTTCAGTCTTTCAGCCTGATTTGGTAGGTGGAATTCTGTAATCCCTTTCACCCCTTGCCTGAATTCAAACAATCTGTTTACTGCCTGATTGAGTCTGGCATTCACTCCACATGCTTTTTATGGTTATGGGCCACAATCCTAAAATCATTCTAGTGACTTTTCACCACCAAACTGCAATGTTTTCTTTCTTTTCTCTTTTTTTTCTTTTTTTGGCCACAATTTCCTTGTATTGGGCACTCTGCTGTTTGCCAGTATGAATACTTGGAAGGAACTTGAGATTAGCACATGCATTCCTTTTGCTTTTTTATTGCTACAGCAAGTAGGAAGTTTTGAGTTTAAAAAAGTACACTATATTATTATCTAGGGGCAAACCTAATTTTTATTTGGCTTTCTATTTTATTACTTTTCTACCCCTGCAAAAAACCGTCTATCAACTATTTACATTTACAAGTTGAATACTGTAAGGCTTGGTGAGATTGGTTCACCACTGCTCCATTGATCCCTACAGAATTGTTTCCAGATTGGTTTCTTTGAAATTGTTTCCATAGAGATGGTTGGAACTAAGGACTCCCAGCTGCTTTGGGGATTTTCTTTTCTCTTTGTCTTCCTTTCAGTCATTTCAGCTTTCCTATTAGTATAGAGATCAAAGGGTCCTTGGAGAGAATCTTGTTAGAGGCCATGATGAGAGAAAAGATAAAAAAGGAGAAGGAAATAGAAGTACCCACACCACCCAGAAGAAAACAAGACAATGAACACGTGATCCTGTATTACACCACCAGGATGAAGAGAAAAGGAAAATTCCATGCAGAGCCAGAAAGAGAAAGAAAGGGAAATTGAAAGACATTGCACTCTTCTTGGGGAGGGAAGGCAGATTCACTAAAAATTTGGTTAAGATAGTTGCTCACATACCCACAATGGCATTCTGAAGTAACATTTAAACTGGATTATCATAATCTTGCTGTCTACAGGAAAAGCAAATAAGCTAAAAATGTAACAAATCTACAAATAAGTTTCTAGGACTGTGTGTAACTAGGGTAGTTAATACCTTTTGAACACAATCTGTCTTAAGTTTTGTGAAGTTTAATGAAGTTTTCATTTTATTTAAAAATTTTTCTCCTTACTAAAAATACAGTAGAGGTTTATTCACCAAGCACACATTTTATTGATTATTTAAATGACTAATATACTTACACAAATTTTTCAAATAACTCTTCCTAAATTTGATTCATTTAGCCTTATTCCTCTTTCTGAAGGGTAATGGCTCACTTTTGTAAATTTTTTTTCAACCTGTTTTGACACCTACCAGTTTTTTGATCCTAAGGCAATTAACTTTCCTGAACCTCAGTTTCTTAATCTTTAAAATGAGTTGTTGTATTGTTATATAGGGTAGAGACTAGCAGTTGAAATAATAATTCCAGTCCCATCCTGTTCCATGTATGTTTGTCATGTCATTAATAAATATGGTTCCTGCTGTTAAACTCAATTTCAACAGTGAATTTAATAGAATTTTTTTTTTTTGGTAAGTACAATGTCCTAAGCACTGTGTTGGGGGACAGAAAATTATTTCAGGGAAATATGTGAAATCATATGAATACCAAGTATCATCTGTGGACAGAATAGTAATATTTCACATATAATATACTACTGTATTCCCAGTATATATAGGCAGATATGGTTGCTGTTAATGAAATGGAAATTGATTTGAGGGCATTACTGAATTCCTAGCAATTCAGTATATGTTTCAGTCCACAATAAATAGAAAATAAAGTACATAATGTGAAGTTGTCCCTGACTTTCAGAAGCATATAGATACATTCCATTAAATAGACAAATTATATTAAACCATAGCAAGTGATCAAATAGGGTGAGCAGAGGGCATTTGGTGGAACAAGAATAGAACCATTAGCTCTACCTGGGGTTCAGGGAATGCTCTCTCAAGGAGATAATTCCTGAGCTAAAAGTTGAAGGATAAGTAAAATTTAGCTGGGCTATGAAAGATAGAAAGGCATTACTCATGCAAGTCAATAGCAAAAAACCAAACAACCCAATCAAAAAATGGGCAGGAAACCTAAACAGATATTTCTCCAATGAAGACACTGTGGAAATTTGGAGAGATAGTCTCAGGCTAGGTGTATTTGCTGTAAAGACTGGAATGAGAATTTATTAACTTACAATGAGGAATATAACTATCAAACAGATAAAATACAACTTGTCCCTGTGTTTTCCAGGGGGTGCTTCCGAGTATTACAAAAAGTATACTTTACGAGGTAAGTACTAGGGATGTAATATACAGCATGATGACTATAGTTAATATTAGTATATTATATACATGAAAGATGTTAAGAGAGTAAATCCTTAGAGTTCTTATCACAAGGAAAATTTTCTTTTTTTGCTTTCTCTTTTTATTGTATTTATAAGAGGTGATGGATGCTAACTAAACTTACTGCAGTAATCATTTCAGAATATATGTAAGTCAAACCATTATGCTGTATACCTTAAACTTACACAATAACATATGTCAATTATATCTCAATAAAACTAGGGGAAAAATTATATTGTATTAGCTATTATTGCTGCCAACAAATTACCCTAAAATTTAACAGCTTAAAACAACAAATTTTAATTATTTCATAGTTTGTATGGATCTGAAATCTAGGAGCAGCTTAGTTGAGCTCTGGTTCAGGGTCTCTTACAAAGTTGGCAATCAAAGGTCTTTTCTCAAGGCTCAACTGCTGGAGGATCTACTTCCAAGCTCCCTTACATGGTTATTTACAGGCTTCAGATCCCCCCCCCCTTTTTTTTTGAATGATTAAAAAATTTCAGAATAGTTATAGTTCACTACTGCATTACTTATTTTGTGACTCAAATTGTTCTTGCTTAGGCTACTGAGAGACCTTTCAGGCTGGCTCCTGTATCCTTTGACATGCACCTATCCTTTTTATTTTTCAGACAGCCTTACTTTCTGGTACTAGAAATCCAAATAGTATGTGTGTAGAGAGATAGTCTTTTTCTCTAAAGCTCTGTAAACCCAGTTTTCCCTATTAATTTCAAGATAGAGCAAGACTCTACCAGTGCTTTACAAAAAGATTGATAAGTGTCTGTTGTGAGTCTGTCCAAAAATTCAAAATTCAAAATACATAATACAGTTGGATAGTCAAATACATCTCCATTATAGAACAGAAGAAAAAGCCTAACCAGTTTTTGACATATGAAAGGGTTTTACCGCTGCAGAGTTCTGAATCGTGCTTTTCTTACTTAGAAAGGATCATAACATCAACTTAAAATCTATTTTCTGCAATCCTCTCTAGTTCCTTGAACTACTTAAGAGAGCAAGAATGTGGGGTTTATTTTCAGGTAGTCAAAGTATTTTTTTTAATTTGGTTGGTAATATATGTATTTACATGCAATATAATGTGTATGTGCAGTCAAACTGTAATAATTCTACCTAATAAAACTGAAACAGGGAAAAAAATGGTTG